GTGAGCTGCCGAGTGACGGAGGCCCAGCGGCCCTGGTTAGGATGGGTTGTGGGGTGGCCTGGGGCTCCTCTGGCCTCCTGCCCAAGCCCACGCCCCTGCCACAGTTGCTCCCGCCAGGACGCCTGCGAACGGGCCACAGAGCCCCAGCGCTTCGCCGCGGACCTGCTGCAGTGCGTGCAGCTGAGCGTGCAGCCTCGCAACGTGTCTGTGACCACGTCTGAGGTCCCGGTGAGTGCCTGTGGGCAGCTGGGGCCCAGGGTGGAGCGGGACCCAGGGTGGGCGGCGGTCCCCCAAGCTGCTCACCCTGTCCCCTGCCCCCGCCCCCCCCGCCACAGCTTGTGCTGCAGGCCTGGAACGTGCCCGACCTCTCTGCTGGAGTCAACTGCTCCTTCGAGGACTTCATCGAGTCCGAGGGCGTTCTGGAGGGTGGCCGGATCCACTGCCGCACCCCCTCTGCCCGGGAGGTGGCGCCCATCACGCGGGGCCAGGGTGAGGCCACGGGGCCCTCCCGTTTGGGTGGGGTGGGAGGGCAGTGGTCATAGCAGGATGGCAGGGGAAAGACTGCAGCCAGGCCCTGCCCACTGGGGTGGGTGCTGGGCCCCTGGTAGAGGGGAGGGTCCTCGGCAAGGCCCTGCCCTGGCTCCCGGGGCCCGGCGTGGGGCCCTGGTGACCCGGCTTGTGCTGCACACCTAGGAGACCAGCGGGTGGTCAAGCTCTACCTGAAGTCCAAGGAGACGGGCAAGAAGTTCGCGTCCGTGGACTTCGTCTTCTACAACTGCAGCGTCCACCAGTCGTGAGTGCCCCGCCCCCTGCGCGGCTTCGCTCAGGCCTGCGGCCAGGCCGTCTGGGGCAGCAGGGGTGTGATGCGATGCTTCACCCTCTGTGTGCCATGGGCACTGGAGTGAGACAGGACACTGGGGTCGCTGCTGCTTTGTCCAGGCAGGAGACGGCCGGCCAGGGGTGGGCACTCAAGACCTGCCACCTGGGGGCAGAAGGGTCTGTCCCCCCACCCCCTCCACCCCCGCTGGGGCATGGCTGGCAGGCATGGGCGCCCTCCCAGGGCTCTGGTCTCCTGTGAGCACGCCAGCTTCAGAGGAAGGGCGGGAGACGCTGAGGGCCTGGCTGTGTGTCCCCCGGATCCGGGCACATGGGGCGGGTACCCAGCCTGGGCAGGGTCAGCCTTGAGCCGAGGCCCCGGGTTTTCAGTTGTGTCTCTGTGGACTGACTGGCAGGCTGACGCCCACCTGGCAGCTCACGGGCGCCCGAGTGGGTGTTGCTCCCCGACCGAGGTCCAGCCTCCTCGTGTTGGGCGGGCCGGGGTCTTTGGGGCGGGGGCTGTGTTCCAGAGGCTGGGAGGGGTCGAGGCTCTGTGTGGAGGCCGGGCCGCGGGCTCCGCAGAGCTGCCGGTAAGGGGTGCAGGGTGGGGATCTGCAGTCTGTCCAGGCCCCCGCCCGGTGAGACTTGCTCTGGTCAGGGAGCCGATTTCTACTGGGGCTGTCCCGCCTACGCTTAAATCTTACTTTATTACGAAGAGGTGGAATTTAAGACATGCTTCTCAGGATGTCCCTGGTAGTTGGGTGGTTAGGACTCCACACTCTTGATGCAAGGGTCTGGGCTTGGTCCCTGTTTGGGGAACTAGACTCTGCATGCTGCCATGGAAAGACCCCGCATGGTGCGGCTGAGACCAGGTGTGGCCGGGTGACGGGTAATTGAGAGAAGCCTCTAGTAGTCACTCCGTCGTGTCAGACTCTCTGTGACCCCATGCACTGTAGCCCACCAGGCTCCTCTGTCCATAGGTTCTCCAGGCAAGAGTACTGGAGTGGGTTGCCGTGCCCTCCTCCAGGGGGATCTTCCTGACCCAGGGATCACATCCGGGTTTCCTACATTGTAGGCAGATTCTTTACTGTCTGAGCCAGCAGGGAAGCCCTGAAACCATATATTTAAAAAAACAAACAAACAAACATAAAAACAAAATACACAAGAATGTGCTTCTCAGCTGCACTGAATGCATTTTCAGTGTTGATGGTCGAGTGCCCTGGCGCCGGCTTCAGAGGGTTCTGTCCTTGAGAGGGTCTGTCCAGCGACACCAGTGTAGGCGGTCGGGGCGCGGGGCAGCCCGGGTGGGGGGCCGCAGGCCCCGCCTCACCGCCGCGTCTCCTGCAGCTGCCTGTCCTGCGTCAGCGGCTCCTTCCCTTGCCACTGGTGCAAGTACCGCCACGTGTGCACGCACAACGCCGCCGACTGCTCCTTCCTGGAGGGCCGCGTCAACGCGTCTGAGGTACGGGGCCGCAGGCGCCGTGGAGCTGTGTGGGGGTGCTGGCCAGAGGGCTGTCCCGGCCTGGGACCATCACTGGCGGCGTTGGCTGGTGGTCCCCGCTTGGGGGTTGCACGCCACAGGCACGTCCGGGCCGTCTGTCCAGCGTGCGGATGGGGGGAGGGCTTCCACGTGGACGGAACCGGCTGGGCCGCGGTGCCGGCGTCCGGTGGTTCCCAGTCGCCGTGAGGCTGCGTGGCCTTCGATGGTCATCGGGGGTGATAGCTCTGGAGCCGGGCAGAGCCCTGACTTTGTTCCGGGCAGCGGGGCTGGACTTGCCCGGGGAGGAGGAGGAGCCAGCGTGGATCCCTCACAGAACCTGCCCTGGCTGCACCCCTCCAGTCCCACCAACCTCGTGGGCCTTGGTTTTTCTACTTCCTGGTGAGGACGCACGTCCAGGATAAGCTGGCACTGGGTGGAACGAGCCGAGAGCAGGCGGGCACACGGTGGGGAGGGGTGGGCAGGTGGACACCCCAGGTGTGCGGCCTGCCCTGGAGGCCGCCGGCGGGCCGAGCCAGCTGGTGGTGGCCGCAGAATGGATGTGTGAGGTGGGGGCCTGGTCCTCACAGGCCAGCCCTGGTTGCACTGCCTGTCTGAGCTGATCCCTCAGAGGGTGCCCCCTGGGGGTCCCCCAGCACAGCGTCTGTCTGGGCCTCTGCCTTGGACGCAGAGCAGCCAGAATAGACCCTGCTCGGGCCGGGCGGGGGCGACCGGGGTCACGGGGCCTGTCGAGGGTGGGCTGACTCCAGGAACACCCCCCTCAGCTGGTCCCAGGTCACGTGGGGCCGTCCCTAAGGAGAGTGACGTTTCCACGCCCGTCACCCTGTCAGGTTTGGCTTGCAGGGCGACCTTCTCCCCTCAGCACGTGCTCAGGCCGTGGGGGCCTGGGTCCCAGCGCCTTCCTGCTCGCGATGATGGCTCAGGGTCCCTGCTCTCCTGCGTCTGCTCGGTCGCCTTCAAGGGGGTCACCAGCACGCAGTGGGGTGGGGCGGCCTGGCGGGGGTCTCGTGTGGAGCCCCTGATGCAGGGCCGCCCTGCTGTGGGAGCGGCCCCCACTCAGCGTCCACAGTAGGGGACGTGGGGGGTTTCCCACCAGGGTCCTGTGCCCCGCCAACACCAGTGACCCTGGTGCCCTCGCCAGCAGGCTGGAGGGCCGTCGTCCGGACGCTCCCTTGGTCTGTGTGAGCGGACCGGCAGCAGCAGTCGTGGTCCCTCATTCTCATATCGGCCAGGACCGGGCGGGGCAGGGCGCGTGTCCACACCGCTCGTCTGCCCCTGGCCTGGCCTCAGCCACTCAAGGGAGTCGGGCTGGGCCTGAGCCGACCCCTCTCTGGGGCCAGGGTCCCAAGGTGCCAAGGCCACAGTGAGACTCTGGCCTGATGGGGGCAGGTCTGTGCCCTGAGACCCCAGGGGACAGCAGCAGCGCTCAGCTCCCAGCTGTGGTGGGGGGGGGTGAGGTAGGGGACGGTGGGAGCAGGGCTTGGGGGGGGGGCAGCGGGGGCCCTGGGCTGGGAGCTGGGCACTGCTGGCCACTGCCATGGGGCTGCAGCCTAAGCTCCACACGCGGCCCATGTGCCGGCCAGTGCGCGCGTGCAGGTGGCCCCTGGGGCACCTGCTCCCTCAGTGCCTACAGGGGCCCCGGGAACCTCTGCAGAGCCAGCCCGGCCGCCTCGGGAGCTGCCTGTAGGGCGTGGGGATGGCAGCCTGTTTTCAGCGTCTCTATTTAAAGCACCTTCTGTGGGGCTCCCGCGGGCCGGCTCCGGCTCCTCCACGGCCGCTCCAGTCCTGCTGCAAGCAAGCCGGGCCATTGCGTCAGTTATTGTTGCTGAAACACTGGCCCTGGGGGCTGGGCTGTTTTTCTGCCCTCTCTGAGTATTTTTACCTACTCCCTGGGCCCCTGGCGGAGAGCTTGTGCCTGCTTCTGCCTCAGGGGCCTCTCAGCTGCTCCCAGGTGGGGCTCCTCTGGTGGGATTCCCAGGGGCAGGCCTGCCTAGGTTGCGGTATGCCATCTGGAACCCAGGCCTGGCTGGCTGGCCCCGGCGCCACCAGCGTGCCCGTGTGTGGGGTGGGCTTGTGATGCTAGATAGGGCCCCGTGCAGCCGCCCTCTGCCTCCAGCCCAGCTTCAGCTGCAGCCTATTCCCCCCAGGACTGCCCGCAGATCCTGCCCTCCACCCAGATCTACGTGCCAGTGGGCGTGGTGAAGCCCATCACCCTGACTGCCCGAAACCTGCCACAGCCGCAGTCAGGCCAGCGGGGGTATGAGTGCCTGTTTCACCTCCCTGGGGGCCCGGCCCGCGTCGGCGCCGTGCGCTTCAACAGCTCCAGCCTGCAGTGCCAGAACTCCTCGGTGAGTCTGCTCAGCACCAGGGTGCCCGCCAGGAACCCGTGCTGTGGGTTTCTGCTTACGGGGGCGCCCTGGGTCCCCCCCGCCAGGCCACGGCAGCCCCTCAGCTGGAAGGGCCCAGGTGAGCAGGGGCCATTCCCAGAGCCACCCTGACACTTGGAGGGAGCCCGTCTGTCTCAGACGTAGGTGAGGGGCCTGGGTGGGCTCAGGGCACGAGAGGTGTCCTTGGGGGCCGAGGTCAGGGGGACAGCGGCAGCTCCTTTGAGGTGTCCTGGGTCAGGACACGGCCACCCGCCCTTGGAGTCTCATGTCTGACAGGGCGACCTTCCGAAGGCCTTTGATCGCATCCCGTGAATTTAGTGATGGTGGGGTCTGCAGAGCTATAACGTTGTGGTGGGAGAGGGGAGAAGGCTGAGTTCGCGGTCCTGAGGTGGCAGGCCTCGGTCTCCCATCTGTTCAGGAGGGCAGTGGGCCTCCGGGCACGGGTCAAAGTCCTGAGTGGTGGGGGGGTGCCTCTGGGTCATCTGCCAGGCTCCCGGAACCTAGGGGAGAGGCATGAGGTCAGAGGTCAGGCTCCATTCCTCTTGACTCTGTTCTGGCGGGTGGGCCTGGGGCCCAGGGATCAGCACAGTCTCAGGGTAGGTTGGCTCTCGGCCAGCGCCTCGGGTCCCTGTGCCTGCCTGCTTGGCCAGCCCCATTTTCTGCCCGCCTCCTTGGCCCCTGTGAGCCCCGCCCTCCGCCTGCCTCTCACTCTGGCTCCCCTGCCTCCCCAAGGCCGCCGTCCCTCTTCTCCCCATCCCCGGGCCCCTGTCGCCTGTCCACCCCGCCCCCCGCCAGGCCCACATTTGTCTTTCCTGCAGCCCCGCGTGAAGGGAAAAGAAAGCATCAGGGAGTTTGATAGGATCCAATTACATTCCTGCAGATAAGATGATGATGAATTGCCCTGGGACGGAGCACAAGTCTTCAACTGAGAAAGTGGGACACAGCTGGGCTCCTTGGAGGGCTGTGTCCCTAAGCCCAGCCCAGGCGGTGGGGGGGCAGCCCTCACAGGGGACGCATATGTCAAACTCAGGGCAGTCCCAGGGGAGGGCTTGTTGCACCCGCCTGGAGATGAGGAAGCGTCCCTGACATGTGCCCAAGGGAGCGCGGGGGAATCCTGGCGTCCTGGTGGGGGTCACCCTGGAGGCTGTGATCCTGTGGCTGCTGGAGGGCGAGGGCGGCAGCCATCTGTGGGCAGAGGAGCAGCTGGATGGGGGCGGGCGCTGGGGCCCTTGGATGGCCTGGGCGGGGGTGTGGTGGGGATGGACGCAGGGAGGGGTTGGGGGGGGGTGTCGGGCGTCTGGGTGCAGATTGGCCCCCAGAGCCTGCCGAGCCTGCCACCAGTGGCTGGTGCCAGAGGTGGCCACGGGGGACACGCAGGCCTGGCCCCACGACCTGACCCTCTTCCTGTCACCGCAGTACTCCTACGAGGGCAACGATGTCAGCGACCTGCCTGTGAACCTGTCCGTGGTATGGAACGGCCACTTTGTCATCGACAACCCGCAGAATATCCAAGGTGAGCGGGTGGGGGGCGGCCCGGGGGCCAGGCCCGCCGGCGGCTGCTGACCCCCGTCCTCCCCGCAGCCCACCTGTACAAGTGTCCCGCCCTGCGGGAGAGCTGCGGCCTCTGCCTCAAGGCCGACCCTCGTTTCGAGTGCGGCTGGTGTGTGGCCGAGCGCCGCTGCTCCCTGCGTCCCCACTGCCCCGCGGATTCGCCTGCCGAGTGGATGCACGCCCGCCACGGCAGCAGCCGCTGCGCCGACCCCAAGATCCTCAAGGTAGGCGCGCCCCCAGGCCTGCGGGGCAGAGGGGGTCTCTGACACCCGGCCATCGCCCCAGCTGTCCCCTCTTCCCACAGCTGTCCCCTGAGACGGGCCCGCGGCAAGGCGGCACGCGGCTCACCATCACAGGGGAGAACCTGGGGCTGCGCTTCGAGGACGTGCGGCTGGGCGTGCGCGTGGGCAAGGTGCTGTGCAGCCCGGTGGAGAGCGAGTACATCAGCGCAGAGCAGTGAGTGGGGCGGGGCCTGCGGGCGGGGAGGGGGGCAGAGTGGGCGGGGCCTGTGTGGGCAGGCAGACCTGTGTGGGCGGGGCCAGAGAGCAAGGGGGGCGCGTGGGTGGGGCCAGAGAGTAGGCGGGGCCTGCATGGGCGGGCTGGACCTGTGTGGGCCAGGCCAGAGAGCAGGGGGGCCGTGTGGGTGGGGCCAGTGAGTGGGCGGGGCCTGTGTGGCCGGGCGGGGACAAGGTGCTTTGCAACCCAGTGGATAGTATATTAGTGTCTAGCAGCGAGTGGGACGGGTCTTGTGGGACAGGGCCCGTGATTGGGCGGGGCCTTGTGGGCGGGGCCGGCGCTGTAGCAGCTGAGGCCCCCCCCCGCGTACCCGCAGGATCGTCTGTGAAATTGGGGATGCCAGCACCGTGCGGGCCCACGACGCCCTGGTGGAAGTGTGCGTGCGGGACTGCTCCCCTCGCTACCGCGCCCTGTCGCCCAAGCGCTTCACCTTTGTGGTAAGCCCGCCCTCGTGCCCTGCAGCCTCTCCTTCCAGGCCCCAGGTTACTAGGGGCCCCCCCAACAAGTCGCCCACGGAGGCAGCCCGGGGTTCAGGCGACCTCGAGTGATGGCCCCCTCCCCGCGCCACTCGTCTGCAGGGCCTGACTCAGGGGCCCCCTTGCACCTGGGGCCCTGCCTGTGGGCGCCGTCCCAGACCTAGTGTGCACAGACCTGGGCTTCCCGGAGCCCCAGCCCGTCCCTTCTCTCCCCAGACGCCAACCTTCTACCGCGTGAGCCCTGCCCGTGGGCCCCTTTCGGGGGGCACCTGGATTGGCATCGAGGGCAGCCACCTGAACGCGGGCAGCGATGTGGCGGTGTCAGTAGGAGGCCGGCCCTGCTCCTTCTCCTGGTACGTAGGGACCCTAGGCTTGCCCCGCCTGCCCCCTGTGGTGGTTGGTTCAGATGGCTGGGCCCCCCCTCCGTTGCCTGGGAGACAAGGGGGATTGTGGGAGCCAGGCTGGGGTGATCACTATGGAAACCTAGAGCGGAGAAGGTTACCATGGAGATGGCTCCCTCCAGAGCAGGTGGGCGGGGCCTGGTTTGAGTGGGGGCCGGCCGCTGCGCCCTGCCCTGGGCTGATACCCCCAGAGCACAGCCGTTTAGAGAAATTCTTGAGAGAGAGAAAGGGAACCTTAACAAAAACTGGGAGCCTTGAAGTGGATAATTTTAGATTAGGGATGATAATGGAGCCAGCCTTTAAATATTTTCCTGCAGTAATTACCCGTTATCAGACTAATTATTGGTGTTTGCAGCCTGCCACATGCGGGCCTGGCGGCTGTGGTGTAGGCACTGAGGGGACAGGCAGGTGCAGGCGGTGACCGGGCCGGCTGCCCTGTAGGGTGACCCAGCACCCCCACCTCAGCAGCCTGTTTCGCCAGCTCATGACCCGGACTTGGGATTAGCCTGTTTTCAGATCAGAGACAATGAAGGTGGGGCAATGAGTGCATCGAGTGTGTCCTTCCAGGAAGCAGGAGCCCTGAGCGTGGGGCTCTGACCCTGAGCGTGGGGCTCTGACCCTGAGCACGGGGCTCTGGCCCTGAGCACGGGGCTCTGGCCCGGAGTGTGGGGCTCTGACCCTGAGCACGGGGCTCTGACCCTGAGTGTGGGGCTCTGGCCGTGAGCATGGGGCTCTGGCCATGAGCATGGGCTCTGACCCTGAGCGTGGGACTCTGACCCTGAGCACGGGGCTCTGGCCCTGAGCATGGGGCTCTGGCCCTGAGCGCGGGGCTCTGGTCCTGAGCATGGTCCCTGAGCATGGGGCTCTGGCCCTGAGCATGGGCTCTGGCCCCGCTGGACGCACGTTGAAATGGTGGGGTCCGTCCGACCAGCCATCCCTGGGTGATTGATGGGGTGCCACAGGGCTGCCTTGAGGCCCAGTGAGCTCCTGGTTCCTGTGGGCCTGGCTCTGCGGACAGAGACACAGTCTGGCTCATCAGCTGACACCTCAGAGGAGGCAGACGCCGGGGTGGGGGTGTCCCCTGGAGAGGGAGCTTGGACCCCGGACCCACCTCTCAGCTGGGGACATGCCCCAGAAGGGCACAGACAGCACCTGGCCCCTTGCAGGGGCTGACGGGGGAGGCGACCCCCACCGTCCTCAGCCACCTGGAGACAGGGCCCACAGCAGCCTGTGTCACGGGGAGGCAGGTGAGGCCGGGGCGGGACGTGGCCAGTGATGTGCCCGCAGCCTGTGGTGGTGGAGCCTGGATGCTCAGGCGGGTTGGAGGTGCCTCACTGCCACCACCACCCCCCGCCGCCCTTCCAGGAGGAACTCCCGGGAGATCCGGTGTCTGACACCTCCCGGGCAGAGCCCGGGCAGCGTCCCCATAGTTGTCAACATCAACCGCGCTCAGCTCACCAACCCCGAGGTCAAGTACAACTACACCGAGGACCCCACCATCCTGAGGATTGACCCCGAGTGGAGCATAAACAGGTCAGGGCACCACTGGGAGCCTCCCCCCTGCTGGGTCCCGCAGCCCTCCATCTGCCCACCCTGAGCCCCGTGACCGCAGTCCTGAGCCGCCAGAGACCAGCACCTGGCTCGGGGCTCCTGCCGCCGGCTGTCAGCTCAGCCCTCACGTGGTTCCGCCCCCCAGCACGGTGCTGAGAGGCTGTAACCCTCATCTGTCTCTTGGGGGGCCGGGGGGGGTGTCTGTGCCTCCCGTTTGTGCTGGGCCCTGGGCAGAGGGGCCCCGGACGTCCCACCGGTGACTCCCACCACCCTCATCTTTTAGTGGAGGGACCCTTCTAACAGTCACGGGCACCAACCTGGCCACTGTCCGCGAACCACGCATCCGAGCCAAGTACGCCGGCTTTGAGAGGGAAAACGTGAGTCCCTGCTGGGCCCTGCCCCCCACGCCTTCCATCAAGGCAGCACTTGGGGTTCCCAGGGAGGGTGGGTATGCAGGTGTGGCCACAGGCCCGCTGCTAGCGCCTGGCCCCTTGTGGAGCAGCCAGCCCAGCGTCCCTGTCCCACATCCCCAGAGCTGCCTGGTGTACAATGACACCACCATGGTGTGCCGGGCCCCGTCAGTGGACAACGGCGTGCGCAGCCCGCCCGAGCTTGGGGAGCGGCCGGACGAGCTGGGCTTCATCATGGATGACGTGCGTGCTCTGCTGGTGCTCAACACCTCATCTTTCCTCTACTACCCGGACCCTGTGCTGGAGCCGCTCAGCCCCACCGGCCTGCTGGAGCTGAAGCCCAGCTCTCCGCTCATCCTTAAGGTGGGCCACTCAGGGACGGCGGGGGCGGGGGCTGGTTGGCGGTGGCTGTGGCCGACTTACCCCATTCTGCCCACAGGGCCGCAACCTGCTGCCGCCGGCGCCCGGCAGCCCTCGCCTCAACTACACCGTGCTCATCGGCTCCACGCCGTGTGCCCTCACCGTGTCCGAGACGCAGCTGCTCTGCGAGTCACCCAACCTCACAGGGCAGCACAAGGTCACGGTGCGTCCACGCCCCTGGAGCCCCACGCAGGGCCATCCCCAGCCCGAGGGAGCCCCCCGGGGCCCGTGACCCCACCCCGCCAAGCTCGCGGGGCCCTGAGCCATGGGCGACAGGCACCCCCTGAGCAGCCTGCACCCCCAGGTCCGGGCTGGCGGCTTCGAGTTCTCGCCAGGGGTGCTGCAGATGTACTCGGACAGCCTGCTGACACTGCCCGCCATCGTGGGCATCGGCGGAGGTGGCGGCCTCCTGCTACTGGTCATCGTGGCCGTGCTCATCGCCTACAAGCGCAAGTCGCGGGATGCTGACCGCACCCTGAAGCGCCTGCAGCTGCAGATGGACAACCTGGAGTCTCGTGTGGCCCTGGAGTGCAAGGAAGGTGGGCAGGAGGCGGGGCCGGGGGTGGGGCTGGCCGAGGCTGCTGAACTGGGCCGTGCTGCCCGCTGAGTCCACTCCGTCTCCTATGCTCCTGCAGGCCTTGCTATGCTGGGCTCAGTGGAGGGAGGCGGGGGCGGTCTGACTGGGGCCTTTGTGGGGGGATCCCGCAGGCAGACCCCGCCGGAAGCCCCTGTTTGTGTCCCAGCCTGGCTGGAGGACGCCCGGTGGGCACACGGTGTCTCAGTCTTGCTTGAACGGACACGCGTCCGGGTGTGGAGACACCGCGCCTGCTGCTGAGGGCGGGGTGGCACCGTTTCCCCGGGCGTGGTGGGTGGTTGGTGATCCAAGAGCCAGTGTGCGTTGGTCCATCCGGCGGTCGGGGGTGGCCTTGGGGCGAGGGAACTCTCTGTGCGCACGACCTTCAGCCTGGCCGCTCTGTTCTGAGTCATCCAGTGGGGCGGGTGTCTGTCCTGCCCTGGGGGGCGAGTGGTAGAAACCTGCTTAGGCCGCGGCCGCATCCTCTGTACCAGAGTCTGGGGTCTGGAGCCCAACCAGGCCTCACATCCCCAGAACCTGTCTTCTGTGACTGCTCCCCTGTGCAGTGACAGGACGACCCCGGAGGGCAGGCTCGGTGTCCCCGAACCTGGTCACGTGCCCCCTGCCCCCAAGAGTCCCCAGTCGGGAGGTGGACCCCGGGGGCGGGACCCGGCCTAAGAGAGAGGGGCCCTGCAGGCCGGAAGTCTGAGCAGTGGCCTGGGGGTGGGGGCTCGGGGGGAGGGCCAAGGACGTCCCCAGGGTGCCTGTGTTTTGGGAGACCAGTGGCTCATCCCCAAGGAGCAGAGGCTGCCCCCCCAGTGCTGAGGGCGCGACTGCTGTGGGACCAGCAAGTGGGCGTGCGGGGTGGGCGCCCGGGCCAGGGCCGCAGGGACCCTGATGGGTTCAGCACCCGTGTGCCCATGTGGGCTCCAGGCAGCAGCCTGGACCTGTGCTGGCCGCCATTCGGCCGGCTGGCTTTTCTGGCCGGTGCCCACAGCCAGCGGGAGAAGGGTGGGGGTCTACTCGGAGCCCAGCCCACGCGTGCCCCTTAGAGCCCTGTCCGTGCGGGGCGCCACGAGGATGACCAGGGCCCCAGCACAGACGCCCAGCAGCAGGCGGGGAGGTGAGGGCCGGCTCCTGTTCAGCCCCCATGACGTGCCCAGCGCCCTCTGGCTCCTGACCAGACAGTGCACACCTCACGGCTCTGGAATGTCCTGAGAACAGCGGAGGCACTCTGAGCCGGCGGGTGTGTCGGAGGCCTGCTGGCCCAAGGAGCGGACCACTCTGCTCCCTCCCAGGCGGCCAGAGCCAGGGCAGCCACGAGCGCCCCAGCCTCTGGGACCAGGGCCCCCAGCCCAGCCCAGTCTCTGCCCTCGTCTCGGTTACATCTGCAGCGGTTCGGGGGTGGGGGGCTCACCCTGCGTCAGGACTGGGGACGCTGGCCGGGCAGGTCCAGCAGGACCTTGAGTGCGGGGTGAGCGGGGCCGGCGGGAGGGCGGAGCTGAGCAGGTCCCCCACAACCCTGAGTGCGGGGTGGGCGGGGCCGGGCACCCGCCTTGACCCCTCGTCTGGCCACAGCCTTTGCGGAGCTGCAGACGGACATCCACGAGCTGACCAACGACCTAGACGGCGCCGGCATCCCGTTCCTGGACTACCGCACCTACGCCATGCGTGTGCTCTTCCCAGGGATCGAGGACCACCCGGTGCTCAAGGAGATGGAGGTGGGCTGCCAGCCCTCTCCGCAGGGGTCCGGGGTTCCTGGGGCCGCGGGGGCCTGGGGGCCAGCCCGAGCCTCCTGGGAGGGAGGATCTGGTCCCAGCAAACCACCCCTAGCCTGGGCTCCCAGGGCCCAGCGGTTTCTCTGGGCCTGTGGGCCACTGTGCACCACCCAGGCTGGCCAGCCTGGCTCCAGCGTGAGGCCTCCAGCCTGCTGCAGGGGAGTGGGCTGGCTCCCGCATCCTCCTGGGCGCCCCAGTGGCCGGCCAGGAGCCCAGGCCCCGGTTCAGAACA